TCCGGAATCCGCCATTCGTCTGACAAATATGATAACAGGGTTTTCAAAAATCTTGTCACTTTTATCAGGTAATAAATATAGTTTGGTTTATTACTAAACGAGCAACTAAAGAAAATAATCGAATCAATAACAGACTAGAAATTGCATTTTTTATTCAAATCGACACATGATATCATCTATCAAATATAGAGACATTATTAAGTGCATGTTTTGCACCCATTAATTTATGTTATAATTTGCTACAGGGTTATTTTCAACCATACATTCACACAATAAAATATTCTACACCTATATCAAAAAAAATTTCTTACTTTTTAACCACATGTTATCCTAAAAATACTATTCAAAACTCTTTTTTCCCCAATGAGAATCAAGCAGGCTCTAAAGTCCTATCACAATATTCATAACACAAGCAAGAAGGAATCAACGCCCAATTGCGCAATTTGGAGAAGAAATTTATATATTGTAAACACAAACGATTGAGCAATCCTGAGAGTTGTTCAATTGGTCAGACTTTGGATTTGCTCCCCAATTGTCACCAGTTCGAATCCCCTCAGGCACTGAGGTGAGTACCCGGCCGTAAACTTAAGGATCCCGTGGAATTAGTCGATGTACACGTAAGTTGACTAGAACATCCACGGTTATCAAGAAAAAAAATACCTTTTACACAAGCTTTACACACTGCTTCCACCATTATCAAATGGACTGAAAGCAGTAAACAAACTTTCTGATCATCTACGATTTTTTACAAATGGATTTCAAGCTGTTTTCAGTTTAACAGAACACTAAAATCGTGTTTTGTTTGACATTTCTGAAAATCCATTTTTGAGAACAATGATAAACTTTTCGATGAAAATTCTGATAACACTCAAAACATGAAAAACAAGCATTTGAGTAAATAACTCAAAAATTGAATTCAAACATTATTAAAATTGAAGAAAAACATACAATCTGCTCAAGTAATTCCGAAATTCAAATTAGAGAACATACAGGAAAACCGAAAATTGAGTTGTAATTACCAAAAACAAAGCTGAACTACAAGTGATCTTATATTTAACTTTCATAATTAAATTACATAAGCTGAAATAAAGTTTTATTTGCCTCAAAGGTATGGAAAATGAGGAACTTTTGTTGTACCTTTTTGATCGCAATGCCTGAACTGAATAAATTCAACAATGAGAGGCATGAGCGAATAATGGGTGATTTTAAAAGTGGGGAGGCGACACACGGCGGCCACCTGTTTGTCCAGCCATACTGTCACAATTGGCGTTCGGACCTTAAATCAAAGAGTAATGTTATTTAGCGCATGTAGTGTGACATTAAAGTGAGATTAAATGATAGCTTTCACATTTCATTTAACCTATTATTTAAAGTCATCTATAGCTTTTTGGTAGAAATTAAAGTTGAAAACTTAACCGTTATTGTTGACTTTTATTCTACGAGTGAGACTCAATAATGACTATATTTTCAATTTTAATTGGATTAAAATCTCTCTCAAACAAGCTCCTAGTAAGTAGTAACTCCAGTTGAGCTACATAGTATTACTCTAAGAGCTTGTTTGGTATGGATTTTTTGGGGGAAGAATTGATTTTGAATAGTGATATGATGGGAAATGTGTGGTTGAAAAAGAAGATAAGATTATTGATGTGATAGAAAATATTATTTTATTGAAGAATGTGTGGTTGAAAATGAGAATTGATTTACTG